AAATGGTTTCCTTAGTCTTTGCTAAACGTTTAAAAAAACATATTGGTGAAATTATAGGAGAAACTTAAACATTCAAATGCTTTATAGGAATATTGATAGCTGTGTTATGTTATATCCTAATGTAACTAAAAGATTCCCTGTTTTAAGGTCAGTTCGTCAAGGGTGCCCAATTTCTCCTTTTTTGTTTTTAATTGTGGCAGAATTACTCTCAATACACCTTTTAAATAAGCCAAACTTCAAAGGGATATCTATTTTTGATTAAGAAATCAAAGTAACTCAACTAGCACATGACAGTTGTTTTGTTTGGTTTTTTTTAACAAGATAAACATCCGGTAGATAGTTCTTTGTTTTTCATTCACCAATTCTCAGGAGCATCGGGTTTACAAATAAATAAATCGAAATGTGAACTTTTGGCTTTAGCCCAGAAAAAGGAAACAAGTTTAAGTATTATATCTGGAAAGAAAGAATTTAAGTATCTAGGGATTCATATTTGTAAGAACGCCAATAACGTAATTTTTCTTCAAAACTGAAAAAAAAGGGATCTGTCGATATTGAGTAGAGTGCTCTTAACCAAAGGTTAATGCCCGGGTGTCCCAGTTTGTTTATCCTGCTTTATCTTTTGATGTGCAAGACTTGTACAACTCAGGACATTGACAGCATGCTAACAAACTTTGTCTGGAAGAATCAGCATCATCACTTGAAAAAGAAACTTAATTCTGCCCATAAAGCTGAAGGTGGATTTGAATTATTGTCTTTCATAGACCTAAATCGTATGTATAAAGTGAAATGGTGAAAAGAATGCTTAAAATCTCCATCATCAGGATGGTACTTTATCCCACAGAATATCTTCAGACATGTCAGCGGGTTCGATTTTCTGTTAAAATGTGATTATGACATGACAAAGTTAGCGCATAATCTTTCCGATTTTCATCGACAAACCCTATTAGCATGGAAATTGTGTTTTTCCCACAACTTCTCTCCTCACAAATTTATTACATGCAACAACTCATATGTCATGAGAAGAAAAAAATGCTTGTATTTACAACATTGGGTTGATAAAAGTATTATTTTTATAAAAGATCTGTTTTACTTAAATGGACAAAGAATTACTTTGGAATATTTTTTGAAAGAGAAGGGATTCCCCAGTCAATCACAAGAATTTAATTTGGTTGTAAAAAGCTAATCTAGTGGTATATTACAACTCATGAAAAGCTGTAGAGGTGAAGAAGTAAAACTAATTCCGGATTCAACACTTTATATAAATGATATTGATCTGTTGAAGAAACACTGTACTAACAGTCATATTCGAACATGCTTCTATCATCACAGAAAAATATCTCCTCGTGGGACATTTTTCTGGAATTCTCAAGGATAGATTGGCGTAAAACATGGCTTGCTCCTTTTAAATTGTTTGTATTCAATAAAGTAAGAGAAGTACAGTACATCTAAAAATATTACAAAACATATACCCAACAAATTTATATAATGTGTACATTCTGTGGGACAAATCAAGAGTACGTAACTCATCTTTTCTATCAGTGCCCCTTTATTTAGTACAGTGGTTCTTAACCTTCTTAGAGGCACCAACCCAATCAGTTAAAATGCACATTCACCGAACCCTTCATGAGTGAAAAATAAATATATATTTTTTTTTACAAATTCAAGATATTTTAAAAAAACTTATTTATTAAAAACAGAAAAAAAGTAAATACAATTTCAAGAGATAAGTATACTTTTTTTTGTACGACGTAATATAACGACAGTCACATGTTGACCACAAAGCAAACTAAATTTCCCACAGCACTGATTGGACAAGCAATGTCATGTGATCATCTGCAGCCAGTGATGGCCAAGCGGGCGTCAGAACGAATTGACATGTTGAATCGGGTGTGTCTTACCCTCCATGGCACAGGCTCCGTCGAAACCCTGAGACTGACCGACCGAACCCCTGGGGTTCGATCGAACCTAGGTTAAGAACCACTGATTTAGTTTTAGGTTTTGGAATGATGTACAAAATGTTATTTCTCATAAAACTGGTCACTCTGTCAAGATTGAAGGTAAAAATATCACTTATTTTGTATACAAAGATACAGAAATGTGTACTATTGTTGGCTTCTTTATCTTATTCGGGAAATTTCACATTCACAAAGCAAAATGTGGTAAATCTACTCAATTTTTTCAGGTTTTTTATTGATATTGTTACATTGATTCTCTTAAAGTTGTTCACAAAAAAGGTAAACAGATTTTTGATATATATTCTAAACTGTTCCTTTAATGTCTCTTAATTCATGGTTAAAAGTCTGTCAGAATTCTCGCCTTCTTCTATGTAAATATGGAATTGAACTGACATATCTGACTGTTTGTATATCTATATTTTCATTCTATTTTTTGTTCTCATTCATGTTCATATTGACAAAAATGTTACTTGACGTTAAAATGAATACAGTATTATGTCAGTCAAAAAAAACGTGACAGACGGCACGTCCCCCAATCACGCCCCCTCGTGACTAACAAGTGTCCTAGCATCTGCATTGGTGCAATGAAGCATCTTGCCACACGCCACAAGTTATGAAACACCTCTAAACTTGTTTGCACTCGCTTGTGAAACACTCTCAGTATTAAGTCGAACGAGCTAGTTTTGTCATGAATGCTAAAGGTATGTATATTTGCCAACATAAAGACCATGGCAGAAAAGCGAGGCTGATGATCGGCTGTATTGAACTGGCTATACACTAGAAACATTTGCTACCTGCACAAAACCTAAGCCATATTCACACATACATGCAAGATATTAATCTATGACAAAATGTAAAAGCCTGGGGAAACAAGAACGCCGGACGATCACTCCGACAACAAAACACAGTCGAAAAAGGCTGCGGTCAGACCTGCCTCCACTCGCAAAATTGAAGTCAAGCCAGTCGCTACAGCGATTGCAAATACTGTGCATTACGGTAATCTGTCATGCATTAGTTGGGGCGCTTTTATTTTGAAGGTGGCAAACGCCGCTCGATGGCGGCAGATTACCGTAATGCACAGTATTCACGATCGCTCTGGCGGCTGGTTTGACTTCAATTTTGCGAGTACACCGCAGTAGAAAAAGAACGAAACGCTACATGACATGGCTGACTGCACAAACCAGGTTACGGTGTATTGCTTGCGAGGTTGCTGACTCTTGAATGGTCTGTAAAATATGTTGCAGCAAAACCTTTCAACGTGTCGTAAAAGTTCGGACATTTACGTGTTAATCAAATGAGACGTAATTTGACCGTTAGCTATCAAACATTAGCTCATCCAAAAAGAGAACCGGTCCTACGGGTTTCATTCCTCTACTGACCCCATTCGCGGCTGCAATCTGAACGATGAGCTGAATGGCGTCTTTCATGAAGAACCTGCCGTCGCCCCCCACCACCAGAGTGGCTGCCTGGCGCTCAGCTGGCTCGATGACAGAGATAATGCTCTGGATGAAGTTCTCCGCATAGTGCTCGTTCTGCTGGAACACAGTCACCCTCTTCCTCAGGCCGCTCGTTCCGGGTTTCTGGTCCGTATACGGCTTGGTCTTCGAGGTCGTTACTTTCACCATTTTCACAGGCCCACTCGGGAGAGCTCTTCCAATGGTCCTCAGTGATCCGCTGTCTAGGGCGATGGGGGCGCCTGCAGTGGCAGGGGGAGGGTCCACAGTCCACGCGCACACACATAGACACGCACGAGACAACGCCCCCCCCTGCCGGGTTTAAAGGTCAAAAAACGGAGAGACTTTCAGTTGAAATACTGCCTGCCTGAGATTTAAATTTCCCCATTCACATCTTTTGTGTACAAAAGCTTATTGAAATAAAATGAGAACTCGATGTTCTCATTGTGTTCTCAATGTTTCAGATCATCAAATCAGTTTAAATATTAGTCAAAGATAACACAAGTAAACCCAAAATGCAGTTTTTATTATTAAAGGAGAAAAAAAATCCAGATCTACATGGCCCTGTGTGAAAAAGTGTTTGGCCTCCCGTTAGAACATAACCGTGCTTTATCATACCTGAGTTAAATTTCTTGAGCCAAGCCCAGGCTTGATTACTGCCACACCTGTTCTCAAGAAATTTGGCATAAGAATAACACCGCATTTCAGAAAAAGAACATCATACCAACAGTGAAAATGGTGGTGGTAGTGTGATGTTCTGGGGCTGTTTAGCTACTTAATGACCTGGAAGACTTGCTGTGATAAATGGAACCATGAATTCTACTGTCTACCAAAAAATCCTGAAGGAAAATGTCAGGCCACCTGTTTGTGACGTCAAGCTGAAGGGACCTGGGGTTCTGAAGCAGGACAATGATCCAAAACACACCAGCAAGTCCACCTCAGAAAGGCTGAAGAAAAACAAAGTGAAGACTTTGGAGTGGCCTAGTCAAAGTCTTGATCTGAATCCTATTGAGATGCTGGGGCACGACCTTAAAAAGGCAGCTCATGCCCGAAAAGCCTCTAATGTGGCTGAATTACAACAATTCTGCAAAGATGAGTGGGCCAAAATTCCCCCACAGTGCTGTGAAAGCCTCATTGCAAGTTATTGCAAACGCTTTATTGCATTTGTTCCTGCTAAGGGTGGCCCAACCAGTTATTAGGTCTTGGGGGCAAGGTGGGGGCAACACAGGGCCACGTAGCTTTGGATTTTGTTTCCCTTTTAATAATAAAAACTAATTTAAAAACTGCATTTTGTGTTTACTTGTGTTATCTTTGACTAATATTTAAATGTGTTTGATGATCTGACACATTTAAGTGTGACAAACATGCAGAAAAAAAAGGAATCAGGAAGGGGCAAACACTTTTTCACACCATTGTATATTGCACTGTCAGCTCTATTAAAAAAAAAATACTACATAAACATTAATAGAAGGTAGATACAAATATGTTCTGAAACATTTTGAATTGTTTAAATGTTACCTGTTCAAAAATATATCAATGTACGTTCCCGTGCACTGCGAGTGGGTGAAACCTTGAGAAATAGCCCTGAGCCTTTTCCTGTTGCTTCATTGTGTTTATTCATCATGAACTGAGCAAAGTTAAACATCAGTCTTATTTCATTTCTCTGCAGAGCATGAAACAAAACGAATGAGGCCGATTGAGAAAATGAAGACTTTATAAACAGAAATAGGGAAGCCAAACCTTCTTCCTATTAACATATGACGGATTTTCCATTTGTGATTTGATTCTTTTGAAAAAAGAAAAATACCAGTAAAAAAAATAAAATAAAATGAAAAAGATTATGCACTGATTACAGTAATTATAACAACACATAATATGCACCAAAACAGCTCAGGGTGTAAAGCAAATCATGTTGTAAAAAGAAAAGCAGAGAGTGGCATAAAATACATCTCCTATGCCAAATGGCATTTAGTTAGCCGGCTCTACTGTTTCAGCAGATAAAGTCAAAGGGCAAAGAATGGTCTGTGAGATATAAATACCAGGTCAAGACTCAGCTGAAAAGGCCAAGGGCAAGTAAAGTTCAGACCAGAGGCATGCATTTCATTGCCAGTGCAATACAGTCTCCCCAAAGCAGATACTGCAGTGCAGAATCAGAAAGGAATGGTGACAATGATATGTACCAGTTATCTGTATACAATATTTGTAATTGCTGTCATTTGGCTTTGTTTTACTCTGCCAGCTCGGCGTTGCAAATAAGAATCTGATCTCAAGTAGCTTGCCTGAATATATGACGGTCAACTAAATACATTTTAATAATACACCACAGACAGGAAGGCACCTGAGAATCTAAATGCAAGGTTATCTTTTCGTGAGCAGCATAATTGATTCAAGCCGCCACTTTTTTTTTTTTTTTTTTTTTGCAATCATCTCAAGTGCTTCAACAAACTCTTGGGTGTCACAAGCATAGAAGAGCAGCAAACCGTATACAGCTCTATTTAGAGGACAGTAAAGTCTCCACACAACTGTAGGTCCAGTCCTGTTTTTCATTGATGGGCAGGACATGTTGACACACCTAGCGGATAGCAAATATGACTGTATTAACAAACATCAACCTCATCCACAATGCCAGAAGTAGAAAAAATTATTTTAGTTGTGTGCGATTCAACTGCGAACAGGAAATAATGTCAATAGAAAAACGTCCTACCATCTTAGTTCTGGCTGGCACCTCTATAGCAAACACATTCAGGCCTCTACTGCTGCAGCAGTTGCTGTTGTGTTTGTTGTTGATACGAACCGTCACTTTCTGGTTGGACTGTAACAACAAAAATTGTAGTGACTGACTGCAGTAAAACAAGAAAAAAAACATGAAAAATATTTTTAAATTGCCCACTATGTCTGTGCAAGGCTAAAAATGGCCCCAAACAGGCTAAAAGGGTCAAATCAAACATAAAGGTCTGAGGGTTAACTGTCACTTTACCTTTTTGCAGTGTGTACGGTTACTCATTGGTAATGCGTGAACACAAGGGCACTTCAAGTATCCGTAAACAAGAGCTCCAACAATGTGCAATGACTTTAAAACAATGATGACGATCAGATATCAATGTAGAGTTTATTTTTAAGGTCCAAATGGAATCATGAATTGAAACTGTGGTTTCACGAGTCGAACTGCACTTCATCAGGCCGAGTTATGATTTAATACCCACACATCCATTCTCTACTTCGCCTATGATATTCACAGCGCCCAAGAGCTAAGGTCAATCCCAGCTAACTTTGGATGAAAGGTAGAGTAGACCAGGGCTGAACGCCTGTCAATCACAGGCCACATCTACAATATTCATCTGAGCATTTTCACAATTACAGAGTGGGAAATAAAGCCATGCTAACCGCAGAGAACTTCAACATCATCACTTCATGATTCTAATAACCCCCATTTAAAAAAAAAGTTAATCAAATATTTCAAAAACAAAAGTCAGTATAATAAGAACTTTCCATGCAATAACTATCTCCAGCAGAATTAAGGGTATGAATATGCAATAGCAATGGAAGTCTGCAAGAAGCTATCACCAGTGTGATAAGTCTGTGCCTAAACATTGAGAAACCTTGTCAAATGTCGGAGTCTACCTTGTTGACTATGAGGGAGGATACCCTGTGTTCTCCTCTGTAGGTGTAGATGAGCACATTGTCTTGACCTTTTAGTTGTTTGACTGCACCCTCTAACGTGATGGACTTCTGCAAGGCCTGGTTCAGAATCTTGGACCCAGAGTCCAGTCTGAGAGGCTGAACTGATGGCTGTGTGCTCTCACAGAGGATGTCTATCTGGAACGGGCAAGCCTGATGGATGACATAGGAGTTCATATTAGGGGAGAAAAAAAAAGCCTGCAAATGTCATTATGTACATTTTTTTAGAAAATGATTGATAACCTCGACCAGTTCCAGCATACGGTTGTAGCCCATGGTCTCGACAAGGGTCCACAGATCATCAGTGTCGCCGTCTGTTGCCTCCATCAGAGTCAGCTCCATGAAGCCCTGTTTTGTCAGTTGATTCTCTCTCATGTCAAAATTATCTGTGGATGCAAATGATCCTGATGGCAATGCTTGGAGAGTGTTTACACCATTTGGAAACAATTGTCGGCTTTGCGATGCAAATGGTTCAACTGCAGTAAAATACAACATCTAGAGGAAGTTCAGTTCAGACTTTTCCCCTCATGTACTGAAGAGGATATTCAAATACAGATGTTTGCCGAACATTAATAATAAGGGCATTTAACTTGTACCTTTGCAGATGGCCCACGTCCCCATCTTGCACTCCTCTCCACTGATCATCAGCTCCAAGAAGTTATATTCCTCAAGACTGAGCAAACCATTCCCATCCAGGTCGATCATGTAAAAGATCTCCGATAGTGCCTCCCTGTGGCGCATAATGGCATTACTGCACTACCGATGCTGTATCTTGGCTGTCTATTTGCATAATTGGCAGAGGCAGAGGCAGAATTGTCGAGATTTCTAATTATGATGCACTCAAACACCACAACCAACAAAGACCGCTAATTAACACACAAGCAATGGCATTGTTCCACAAATAAGCAAACACTCCTCGAACGCACCAGATGTTACTCATGCTCATGATTCTGGGCGCTTGAAGTTTAGAACTATTTCAAATATGCATAAAAATAAAGTAACTGGTAGTTTGATATAATTCTGTTGTATTATACTGTATATGATTTTTTTTAAAAAGCAATGATAAAACCACCACGTATGATTTTTTTTTTTTTTTTTTGCTGCTATGTAATTTTCTTCCATCCAGTCCCTAAAAGTATTAGAGCAAAGTGTTCTACAGATGCAACTGATACATTTTGCTTTTTTTATTCATGATTATTTTGCCTCGGATGCAATCTCGTAATTGATCTGCTACCTTTGACATTTTCCTCAACCACCTTAAAAACTACCTCCATTTCTTATCAATAAACAAGCACACCCCATCTCCTCTTATTTTCTCTGTTGACATACCATTTAATTTCCTTCCATTTCAAAGTTCAGGCATCCACGTTTCTGACATTACAATGATGTTAAACGGCCTTGTAAATTAACAGATAATTATAATAATAATTGAAATTATGTGTTCAGAGTTGATGGTATTAGTTTAGAAACTAACCAAGCAAACGCACTTACCGAAAATCTCTGGTGAGGTCGAGTCTTCCAGTGTCTGTCTTGTAGACAAGTTCTACGGATCTATTAGAGACATTTTTTCTACTCCTTTTCTTTAATCTGCAGCCACTGGAGAAAGGCAGTAGGTAGTACATCCCAGCTTTCAGTTGACCTCTCCAAATGTACTTCTGTGGAACATTTTTACACTTTTCAAAATGTATTTTTTTTTTAACATACCACACAATCTAATATGAAAGATATGGGATATATTACAGAGACATATCATACCATATATTGCATTTTACGGAAACTGTCATGTTCGCCCCGAGTTAGTTTTTTTCTACAGCCAGTTTGAATTCCTCCTTAATTAAAAAAAAATGTAAATGCTCAATTGAAGACTCTAGGGCTGTCCACACTTGTCATGTTCGCCCCGAGTTTGTTTTTTCTATAGCCAGTTTGAATTCCTCCTTAATTAAAAAAAAAAAAAAATTTAAATGCTCAATTGAAGACTCTAGGGCTGTCCACACTATTCCCTATATAGTGCACTGTAGAGGGGTCATGCCATTTTATAGGGGTGTCAGAATATCCAAAGAAAATTAATTAAATTAAAAATAAATCAAATTAATTTAAAAAATGTAAAGCCTACTTCTTTGTCCTTTGTACTAGTGAAACACAAGAGTGTCGAATCCTCTTCCGTATCGCCAGCTAACATCACAAAAAGAGCCGTGTCCACATTCATCCAGGGGGAAGTCTTATCTTAAAAACAGAACAGAGGCTTACATTTATCAAAGTTAAGATGTGTGACAAAGCCTGGTTTCAAGGAGAAATGTTATACACTAATAAGTGGGAATCTACAGTGCCAGTGATGAAAGTGCATTCGTACTGGCTCTTTGGTCGAGGCTCATAGGCTGGATGCTTAGTGAAACATTGGAAGTCTGGGGCAGGTGCAGCTGGTACTGCAGTGAGCTGATGGCGCCATCTTCTTCCAAGAAAAAAGATCCCCTCACGCAACTGCGATACCACTGCTGGGAGAACGAAGCAAAAATATTAAGTGGAGGAAATGGAGACATTTGTTTGTTTCAAGAAGCATAATCGGCAAGATCTTATTAACTAGATACTGTACATTCTAAAACAAATTGACTGTGCTTAAATGAACTGATTCTTCTTATGATGGCAGAAAGACATTTTGGAATGAAATCGGAATTAAGCAGTCTGCCATCGACCTAGAGAGGGCATACTGTTCACATGGGGTGCCCATTGCATTGTTCACGATCAACCAGGAGCTTCCAAAGGGGGGAATCGGTCAATTACATGGCATTAACTCTCAATCACTGCCAGCCCTACCATTTTTATGCTGTTGATATAGCCACCTGTTAACGGCAGTGAATGAGTTAAAAAAAAAAAAAAAAGGATAGATAGATGTCAGGGCCGTGCAAAGTTCAGAGTTCAAACAATTAAATGGCTTAATTTGAATTTACTCCACCACACAGGGCATTGAATTTTATTTAAATTACCAGAAATCAGAATTTAATTCAATGTGCCCTTAACAAAATGGCCAAAATGTTTGGGCAGCCATTTTAAAGTCTTAGAAAGGTGTTTATAGCAAATGAAGTGCTAGCCGTCATATCAAAACATTTCAAATTTTTTACAATTGTAATGATTTGTTTTATCTATAATCTTTATCTATAAGCTATGTTGGACAGTCCCTCCCACATTTTTTACAATTGTAATGATCTGTTTTATCTGGATAGGCTTTCAGAGTTGATTAAAAAAAACTACAGTACACCAAGTATTGTGTGCATAGAGTATATTTATATGAAATATTCAGTTCCAATCTATGTTGTAAATAGACTTCTATGCTACAACGCTTTCATTGACAAAAACTTTCATTTGCATCCTGAATTTCATTTCTACTTCCTGCTATTTGAATTTCAATTGCAGTGCTGCTTCCTGTTTGCAAATCCAGTTCACGAATTGAATTGGAAGAACATATGTGAATAGTACTGTGACTATTGTATTATATTGCACTTAATTATTGACCTTATCCATGTTTGTATTTATATTGCACTTAATTGAACTGTGTTTTCTTTTCTCTTCTTCCTACCCACAATCTTGCTGCTGAAGGCTGTAAATTTCCCCAGTGTGGGACAAATAAAGGATATCTAATCTAAAATCTAATCTAATCTATCTGGATAGGCTTTCAGGGTTGATAAAAAAAAAAATACAGTACACCAAGTATTGTGTGCATAGAGTATATTTATATGAAATATTCAGTTCCAATCTATGTTGTAAATAGACTTCTATGCTACAACGCTTTCATTGACAAAAACTTTCATTTGCATCCTGAATTTCATTTCTACTTCCTGCTATTTGAATTTCAATTGCAGTGCTGCTTCCTGTTTGCAAATCCAGTTCACGAATTGAATTGGAAGGCGGTACGGTGGGCAACTGGTCAGCACCTCACAGTATGGAGGTGTAGGGTTCAATTCCAGCTCTGGCCTTCCTGTGTGGAGTTTGCATGCTCTCCCCGTGCCTGTGTGGGTTTTCTCCAGGTACTCCGGTTTCCTGACACATTCCGTGACCCTCGTGAGGTAAAGCGGATTACAAAATGGATGGATGAATTTAATTGGAATTGAGGGGTCATTCTCAATTGAATACAGAACTTGGTACAGCCCTGGCAATGTGCATTTACGGTTGCATCTGATTGGTGATAGTAAGTTAAAAACATACTGTTCCCTATGAAAATGATTGCATGACTTTGCCACACATGGCAATGGCGAGTGATGAAAAAAGCGGAAGGGGCCCAAGTTCTTTCAATCATAGCAAGGCATCCAAGTCTTGAAGAAGCAAGCGGACCAACACACTATCGCCACGTTTACTGTAAACACTTTTTCACACAGGGCCAAGTTAGCTTTAAAAAGACTCCCCCCCCCATAAATGACATCATTTAAAATCTGAATTTCATGTTTACTTTGGTTCTTTGTCTGATATTTAAATTAATTTGATCATCTTAAAAAATTAACATGGGGAAACTATGTAAGAAAAATAGGAATTTGATTGGAAGGAAAATGCTTATTCACAGCACTGTGTAACAGCTTCCACTCTTCAAGTAAGATGTGAGATCAAAGTCCACTCAATTTGGGCAAAAAAAAAAAAATCATTTAAAATCTGAATTTCATGTTTACTTTGGTTCTTTGTCTGATATTTAAATTAATTTGATCATCTTAAAAAATTAACATGGGGAAACTATGTAAGAAAAATAGGAATTTGATTGGAAGGAAAATGCTTATTCACAGCACTGTGTAACAGCTTCCACTCTTCAAGTAAGATGTGAGATCAAAGTCCACTCAATTTGGGCAAAAAAAAAAAAAGAAAAAGAAAAGAAAAAGCCCTCAAGATTTTTAATTGCAAAGATGTTTGATTCATCCAAACATGCCTTTATAGTTCTGCGGATAAAAGGGTGTTTCTTACCCAAACTGTCACAAAGTTGGAACCATATGATGACTCCAAAATGTAAGGGGAAGAATGAAGATTCAGGAGCGACACAGGGATCACTGATTATTTCATTGGCAAGTTGTCAAATGTCATTTAACATGTAGTACTGCAGCAAGTAAGGCTGGCAGCTGACAACTATTGTTGTACTCATGTTCATCCTGAGGAGGGCAGACATGTTACACATTTCAGAACTCCCAAAAAAGTGAGCTTACATTTATTTTACTTACCCGTTTTGTGAACGCCGTGTTTGTACCATTTGTTCACTGTCCAAACTTAAGAGCGACGCGCACAACAGTATGACAATTTGTCTGAGTGATTTGTTTCTTCGCTAAAGCTGAGTACTCATGAATTAAAAAATGAATACTTCTCTTACGCAGAAAAATCAGTCTAATGTCAAAAGACAAATTAGGATTCATAAACATCACCAAACTAGACTCAATTGTTTAAACTGCCTGGTGGACTAAAAATGAAAACACTATTTACAAGACTAAAATGGACCTATCCATGAGAGAAGATGAGTCTGCAGACGAAAAACAGGCACAGTCAACTACTGCCTCAGCTTTGATGTACCGAACTACAACACACCGAACCAACACCAAACACACAGACTAAACCATTTCATTTGGTTCAACATTACAAATAATGTGTATTAGTGTTTAGTTCTTTCAAACTTGACATCACATGGGAGACAAAATCCAGAGAAATGTGACAATTTCCAACTCACAACCCTGTCATATGACAGATAAAGCAATGGCGTCGTACTTTGTACTTTCCCGAACAGGCGGGAAAGCAACCTTGACTTCCAATTGAGATTTAATGAAGTGATTTTGCTCATGTACGGATTTAGGCGATTCACAAAAATGATCAATTTAAGAAATAAAACGGCGGATTTCCGCGGATCCGCGGAAAATTGCCATGTATGCTTTGCGATACACCTGCGATGCCGACATATTGAGCAGCCCAAGTTCTTTCAATCATAGCAAGGCATCCAAGTCTTGAAGAAGCAAGCGGACCAACACACTATCGCCACGTTTACTGTAAACACTTTTTCACACAGGGCCAAGTTAGCTTTAAAAAGACTCCCCCCCCCATAAATGACATCATTTAAAATCTGAATTTCATGTTTACTTTGGTTCTTTGTCTGATATTTAAATTAATTTGATCATCTTAAAAAATTAACATGGGGAAACTATGTAAGAAAAATAGGAATTTGATTGGAAGGAAAATGCTTATTCACAGCACTGTGTAACAGCTTCCACTCTTCAAGTAAGATGTGAGATCAAAGTCCACTCAATTTGGGCAAAAAAAAAAAAGAAAAAGAAAAGAAAAAGCCCTCAAGATTTTTAATTGCAAAGATGTTTGATTCATCCAAACATGCCTTTATAGTTCTGCGGATAAAAGGGTGTTTCTTACCCAAACTGTCACAAAGTTGGAACCATATGATGGCTCCAAAATGTAAGGGGAAGAATGAAGATTCAGGAGCGACACAGGGATCACTGATTATTTCATTGGCAAGTTGTCAAATGTCATTTAACATGTAGTACTGCAGCAAGTAAGGCTGGCAGCTGACAACTATTGTTGTACTCATGTTCATCCTGAGGAGGGCAGACATGTTACACATTTCAGAACTCCCAAAAAAGTGAGCTTACATTTATTTTACTTACCCGTTTTGTGAACGCCGTGTTTGTACCATTTGTTCACTGTCCAAACTTAAGAGCGACGCGCACAACAGTATGATAATTTGTCTGAGTGATTTGTTTCTTCGCTAAAGCTGAGTACTCATGAATTAAAAAATGAATACTTCTCTTACGCAGAAAAATCAGTCGAATGTCAAAAGACAAATTAGGATTCATAAACATCACCAAACTAGACTCAATTGTTTAAACTGCCTGGTGGACTAAAAATGAAAACACTATTTACAAGACTAAAATGGACCTATCCATGAGAAAAGATGAGTCTGCAGACGAAAAACAGGCACAGTCAACTACTGCCTTAGCTTTGATGTACCGAACTACAACACACCGAACCACCAAACACACAGACTAAACCATTTCATTTGGTTCAACATTACAAATAATGTGTATTAGTGTTTAGTTCTTTCAGACTTGACATCACATGGGAGACAAAATCCAGAGAAATGTGACAATTTCCAACTCACAACCCTGTCATATGACAGATAAAGCAATGGCGTCGTACTTTGTACTTTCCCGAACAGGCGGGAAAGCAACCTTGACTTCCAATTGAGATTTAATGAAGTGATTTTGCTCATGTTTCCTCCACACTAATTAAATTTCACGTTGTGTACTGTAAAACATTTTGATGCAACATATTTAGATATCATTTACACATTTTATTAAGTACGTCGAGGCAATGGGCAGTCTATCGATCCATCCATCGATGAGATCATAAAAAAATCAGCCTTCAGAAAAATAATCATGCTCCACTTTTAATGGAGGTCTTAGTAGTGTGTGTCTCCCATTTTCGTTGCTTCATTTAAGCCAAGGAAAGTTAGTAGCTGAGAGAGTTGCCACTGGTATTTTTACTGACCTTGCTGACGCTGGATGTTGCAGTGACCGAGTGTGACAGAGACGATCGTCTACTGCGTGCAGATGAAGGACGGGAGGGTGGTCGGCTATCTGAATAAAACACACCCTGTCAAACAACGATACAATACTAGCAAAGGAGAAAGCTACGTTAGGATTCATAAACATCACCAAACTAGACTCAATTGTTTAAACTGCCTGGTGGACTAAAAATGAAAACACTATTTACAAGACTAAAATGGACCTATCCATGAGAAAAGATGAGTCTGCAGACGAAAAACAGGCACAGTCAACTACTGCCTTAGCTTTGATGTACCGAACTACAACACACCGAACCACCAAACACACAGACTAAACCATTTCATTTGGTTCAACATTACAAATAATGTGTATTAGTGTTTAGTTCTTTCAGACTTGACATCACATGGGAGACAAAATCCAGAGAAATGTGACAATTTCCAACTCACAACCCTGTCATATGACAGATAAAGCAATGGCGTCGTACTTTGTACTTTCCCGAACAGGCGGGAAAGCAACCTTGACTTCCAATTGAGATTTAATGAAGTGATTTTGCTAATAATGTGTCCTCCACACTAATTAAATGTCATGTTGTGTACTGTAAAACATTTTGATGCAACATATTTAGATATCATTTACACATTTTAGTAAGTACGTCGAGGCAATGGGCAGTCTATCGATCCATCCATCGATGAGATCATAAAAAAATCAGCCTTCAGAAAAATAATCATGCTCCACTTTTAATGGAGGTCTTAGTAGTGTGTGTCTCCCATTTTCGTTGCTTCATTTAAGCCAAGGAAAGTTAGTAGCTGAGAGAGTTGCCACTGGTATTTTTACTGACCTTGCTGACGCTGGATGTTGCAGTGACCGAGTGTGACAGAGACGATCGTCTACTGCGTGCAGATGAAGGACGGGAGAGTGGTCGGCTATCTGAATAAAACACACCCTGTCAAACAACGATACAATACTAGCAAAGGAGAAAGCTACGTTTTTTTTTCGTTTGATTTTTTTATTATATAAATCAGCATGTATTGTATTGTATTGTATGTTAAGGACATATCAAATGCAAATGTTTGTTCATGGAATCAAAGAAAGTATGCTTTCACCGTCAACCAATGGCTTAACTTTGAATACAGAGAACAAATTGTGCAAACAAGAAGATGCAATCGATCCATCCATCCACTTTCTATATTGCTTATGCTGACCAGGGTGGCTGGTGAGCTGGAGCTAGGTGACTTCGGGGGCGGGGGGTTATGACACTTGTCCCGGCTTTTTTAAAACATGTTGTAGCTATAAAATTCTAAAATAATTATAATTTGGTCAAAATAATCAAGTTGATCATATTTTGTCTTTTTAGTGTATTCAATTAAATATAGGTTGAACATGATGTGCAAATCGTTTTTCACTTTTATTTGTGTTTAACACAACGTTCCAACTTCATTGGAATTGGGTTAGTAAAAGCGATCAGCACAATATTTTGGATTTTATTGACAGTAAAAGTGAGCTCCAAAGAGGAAATGGTTGAAATATTTGCCACCAGACACTGAATAATTTACACTATATTTGAATTGGTACAACTTAATAAGTGCAATGAAAAATGTAATCTGAATGACATAAAATTTGTATTCATTTGAATCTTTACTTTTAAAAACGGAATCGTACAATTTCAATTCATCCCTGAAAATTCAATTATATATATTTATTCACAATCAGTTTTACAAATAGAAATGTAAATGTTTTCCACACAGTTTCAGTGAGCTTGACTTTTCACATTCAGTTTCACAAATGAAAATTAAATTTGGCTCGTGAAACCAACATCCAGGTACTTGAGGATGAGCAATCGATTGAAGAACTCACATCTCCTCTCGATTCGACATCATTTTGAGCTCGTGACAAAATATCTCCTAAGCGGCTCTTAACTTTCTTTAACCTTTGTGGTACAAGTCATTGGGTCGGAGAGGGATGAAAAGGTGCTTCCTTTCAAAGATATTTAGCAAGCAATTATGCTGAGTGGTGGACACGCGCGCGCGCGCGCACACATACACGCGCGCGCACACACACACACACACACACACACACACACATACACACACACACACACACACACACACACACACACACACTTCAAAAAAATAAAGGGAACACCTGAACAGTACAATGTAGATAGATATACACACCCTACCCACCATAATTCTAATTACCGGTTTTTAAATTTTAAAAGATTTAAGCCTAAATATTGACTGACAAATATAGATCCACATGAGCAACCAAAACTGTTTTCAAACTGAAAGAATAACACATTCAACACGTGCAAGTGGGAAGCATTTTGTCTCATCTCCTTATTAAAATGTAACAGGGATAAATCAATATGTGGGAGAGGCACAATAATGTGATAATCCCGACTACTGTGTGGGAACTCATTTGTTTTTGCAGTTGCCGTTGGTGTGGGTCCTCCTCCTGACCACCTGCAAATCCCTCATCCTCTCCCCAGTGAATAGTAGTGGGATCCTCCGAATCAATAACATGAACATAGACTGACCACTTAGATCAATCCCATCTATCAACCCACAGTGGTAGGATTGTCTTCCTCTTACTTTAGCAGGATCTCTGTCTTTGGTGCGACCATGTTCTGTACAATGATGATGGCCCTCAGCTTTTAGAGTTGATTTCGTAGTTGCATGATTAATCCAGAAAACAAATTTTTGGGCCAGAATGCTCTCACCAAAACACATCTTTTGGGCCAGAGTGCTCTCATCGAAGTCTGTGGATGATTGTTTGTCAATTTGCTAATGGCAGAAATGATGACCCAAATCAAAGGGCTTCACAGTTCCTTCCCTACAAACAAGCGGCTCTAATTGTGTGGCTCTCCTGATGAATGAACTGTCCTAATGAGGTGATTTGTTGTGGAGAGTGAAAAAAATTAATCAATAATAGAGCTATTAAATTCATCACAATAAAGTGGCAATGTGTAATTGGTGTGAACGGGTGCGCATCTAATATAGAAAGTCAATCAACAGACTACAAGGCAACAAACTTGGAACCTTTGAAAGAAGCAGATTAAAAGTTATTCAACTACCTTTCCGAAGTGTGATCTCTGGATCTGACCAGGTTGTTTCCGGAGGCTGAGGTGGTGATGATCCTGATGTCACGGAGGCTTTTGGAGGGCTGTCTGGATGGCTGCCAAAGTTTTGTCTCTTCAGCTTGGCATCAGACTGGAGCTTCTCCAAAGAGGCCATCTGACATTTCTCTGCAGTGGACACGAGCTGTCGACAAAACTGACAGCAAGAGTAAGACCAGCACATCAATGTGTTTAGGTACTGAAATAACAGATGGCAAGCACACCATTTGAAACAGAACTGATTTTCAGATTGCTATGTTACCTCATACTGTATATTATCCAGCATGTGACATGCTTTGAAACAACTTGCTCATAGATCAGACCGACTATGGACACCGGCACTCATGTTACACCTCTGATGCACCCCTCAGAGAGTCTGTCAGAGCTACTTGTTGCAGTATGTCCAGGAGTATCAATGACTTTCGGTCTGTCGTTGAAACTTAAGTCAGGACCGACGAACCTCCTCAGTGCGTCACTGACGGACTCCCATTTTTCTTTCCTCATGTGTTTGTCCACACGGGCGAATGAACACAGGGGTCACGATTCAGTGCTACCGTGTTGATCACGTTCCCACAAATACACGCAATACGGTAAGTTAAATCCATGAAGCAGAGGTTGATTTTTGTTGTATTTTGTTTGTCTTCTTGCTTATGTGTTTTCATTTATTACAATGTGTTTTTTGTACATGATATATTTTTTAATTATACACGTTTTAGTTTAGATGTTTTTTTTAATTATATTTTTTCACATATATGTTTCACCACACACTTTATACACTCTTCTCAGGCAGGAATTAACATTTTCACATTTCTCTCTCACATTCCCAAAGTTCAAACCTTCATAGATTTCATTAAAAAAAAAAAAAGAAGAAGAAGGTCGTTGTTGGTACTGTTTTTTCTTCTGGGTGAAAAAATTCTTATAAGCAGATATGCCACACCTTTGATTACATTTGAGAAACGGTTCTCCATTATCAAATCAAGATGCAGAACACTGTGCACGTTCATATGCTGTGAAAAAAATGCTGGGGGGGGTATAAGAAACACTTATTGCGGCACTCGCCGGAAGGCCCACCACATGCTCGCGGGGCATATATCCTGACTCTTTCGCCTGGGGGGAGCGGGGGGGGGGGGGGTGTGGTTCAAATAATGACGGATGGAAGATTGAAGGACTTGCGGACCGGTGAAATTTACTAATGGTCCTAAAATAGCAAATGTAAAATAACGATGACTGAGTGACTGACTAATGACAACACTTTGGTTCGCCTTGAAATAATGATCTACTGGTGAATGACGAACTGTCAAAATTTTGTGATGCGCCCAGCTCTGGAATCTCGAATAGTCAATTAGCATCTTAGTACTGATGAAAAAGGCAAAAAGTTTTCTAAAGTTTTTACAGAAAAAAAAGAACCTGTATGCAGAGCTGCTGCTATTTACTGATTGTGACTATTTGCAGTGTTGAATTACTATTGTTTTTTTTTTTTACGGAGGTGTCTGACAGCTATAAACAACACACAAATGAAAAGACTTGCAGATGACAGTTTCATCAACTGCACAAATCACAATTTCAGATTGAAAAGATGCATCCAGTATCCACTTATGCACACCTACCTCTGCATAATTAAATCGATCATCCCGGTTGATGTCGCTTAGTGAGAAAATGGCTTTCACCTCTTCAGGTGTCATTTTATCTCCACCCTGCAAAATTTAAAGTAGTTAACTGCCAAAACACAATTATTAAAATAGTCAAACATGATAACAAAAAATATGTATTTCATGCACTTAGTCTAATGCTTAAGTTCAAAAATGTTGCTACCATTGATCACAAAAGATGAACATGTGTAATGCAAAATATGTCTCACAGTTGTAAGAAGTTTTTCCACTTGGCTTTGTGTGATGTAGCCATCGCCATTTGCGTCCAGCTTTTTGAAAATTCCCATAAGATCATTCTCAGTTTTCCACTCTCTTTTCAGGATCTCACAGAAATCATCAAAGTTCATGTGCGTTGTTCCTGGGTTCCAGTATTTGTCAAGAGTAGCTTGGGAGGGATTTCTACCAGCTAACTGGAGAACTAGAAAAAAAATATGAATGAACTTGACAAAAGGCAACCAATACCAACTATTCAATTTAATTTTGGGGGGTATTTTTTTTTCTTCGCCACATTTATTATTGCATGTACACAGAAATAGTTTAGCCACATAAAATTTGCATTTCATTTCCCCCCGTCGCTTCTACTGCATTCATTTTTTATGCAAACGTTTCAAACATGGGTAGACACTGAATTTTTTAGGAAATTAGTTACAAAAGCGTCACAAAATCTTTTGGGCCATTTAAGTTTGCATTTTATCATTGACATTGTGAGAAATTACTATTTAAGTCATTTGTAGCTTTTAGAATTGCAAATTAGAAATTGAGAATTCGTTCCTGATGTGATCCTTATTTTGAGATGATGCTACGTCATTGAAAATGGGTCCTTGTGCAACAACAAAAGGTAGTCTTTTGCTAATGTTTGGGAAACGCTTACCTCGACACAACTCCTTTTTCGAGGAGATATTGGTCAGACTAGATCTGAACACACTTAGGAAAGCGGCTCTGCACTGCATGTAGAAAGTCTCCTCCTCATCAGCAACCTCCGATGAATCCAGGTAAGACATCTTAGTCGAGGATAGTATCGAATGGGTTAATGTTCGCCCCCTCTGTCCCAGAACGACACATTCAAACTACATCCATCCATTATACGTGTATTTATTCATTATGTACTATGACAAAAAACACCGCCCAAAAAACACAAGCCGACTCGTTAGAATTAAATGAGCTTATGTGGCAACCGACACAAGAACACCGTTGCCAGAGCTTGCTGGTTGCTAGTCAACAACAATGAAATTGGTGTTCACTTCTAAAGAACACGGAAGAAACAAATGTTAAGGTCCGGAACTACACGACAAATGCAACGTTGTCTCCTTTTGCAATTCCAAAAATAAAACGAATTACCACTTAACCACGTAATATTTTGTCTTTGATCGTCGTTGTCGCCTGAATTATTAAAATGTTTCAGCTCAGGCTGCCAGTCAATGGCTGCGCCTGCTATCGCTCCACGCCAACATTGACAACGTACATTCCGGAGCTCTGGTGTTTTTACGATGAAACACCAATAAGATTGGATTCCAACCAAGCAACAATAAAAACGACGAAGAAGCAGGGGCGGTTTTGTACGATTAAAGTTCAGTTGATTTAGTTTGCTCGGAAAATGCAGTAAGTACTGTCACTTGTGCTGACTGCAACGCATGCTGTTGCACTTTAAACGCACGAGATCAGCGGTCCCCAACCTTTTTTTTGCCCCACGGACCAGTTTAATGTCATACAATATTTTCAGGGACCGGCCTTGAAGGTGTGACGGATAAATACAACAAAATAATATATGACCTGAATGAAAACTGTGGTGTTTTCGAAACATATGAATAAACCCGAACCATGATACGAGGAACGTCCTATATGGCCGTAACACTCTCTGGTTGGTATGGTAACGTTTAAGCCTTCAAAGTAAGTTATACTGCAAATACAAATCGCATGAAAAATACGACTCACCGTCGCCGCATATTATGCAGATTGGGTTTGGTGCGTGGGAATCTCCCGTTGAGATGAATCCGTATTTTAAGTAGGAAATCCCGTCATGTCTGTTAAATGTAGCCTTTTTCTTGAAAGTCGTAGGCTCCTCTTCTGTCTCCGGGCTGGGCATTTTCCCCTTCGCAAAGACGTTTGTTTTTTACTCTGTTTGCAAGCTCCTGGTTTGATTTTAGCGGTAACCATTCACGTGACCGAGAAGTGCGCCATGACCTGCGTTAAGAGTGACATACTGCAGACTGATGTAACAGAGGATACGGTAATTTTTCAAAATAAAACATCTTTCAGATTCCAAAATAAAACGGAATACAATTTATTCTTTCCGTGCGGCTGGGTACAAATGACCCAGGGACCGGTGCCGGTCCGCGGCCCGAGAGTTGGGGACCGATGCACAAGATCTATGAAGTTAATAACCTATTACAAGTTATGTATGCATGTAATTACTGTAATTACATTACCACTGCACATTACTGTTAGTGATTGAGTTGTGTGATTCGGTGGGGAAGGCGTGATTTTGGAACATGAAAGTGAGCATGTTTATTTACTTAGATTAAAATAACGACATTTACAAAGCGGCAGTGCTCGTCAGAAGATCTATAGATAGTCTATTCTCGAGAAGTCTTTGGCTTACCATTTGCACGTTTCTGATGTTTTCTCAGGTTTTGTGGAAAAAAAAAAAACAAAACCTCAAAATGTAGTTGAGACACACAATGCAAAAAATAAAATAGAATACAATACATTTATTAAGCATGTCTCTTAACACATCATCAAACAAAAAATATGGAAGGTGTGTTGTACGTCCAAAGGGCATGAGGTACTCGAAGTGTCCCATGGGAGTTTTGAAGGCAGTCTTCCATTCAACACCCTCCCGAATCCTAACCAGGTGATAGGCGCTGCGGAGATCAAGTTTAGTGAAAATGGTGGCAGATATGTTGCACATACAGCATATTTGACAATGAGTTGACTTGAACTTGAGATTGTCAAGGGGCAAACGTGGAGTCGAGCAAGGGTAGCGGCTATTTATTCCTAATAGCGAAATCATTCAGGCCTCGGTGATCTACAGATGGTCATTATGACTTGTCTTTTTCAATACAAAAGAATCCCACACCCGCGGTGGACGTAGAGGGACAAATTAAACTTGTTGCTCACGAGCTTGAAATGTATTCGCGTAAAGATTCTTGTTTGGGTTCAGACTTGATCAAGTCTAGAACTGGGAAGCGGGGCATTGGGAACAAGTTCTATCGTGCAATCATTGGTCAGTGAGGCTGCTGTGACTGAGCGCGATCTTTGCTGAAAAATTATGGGATTCAATGGGAATATTGTCAAAACATGTTTTCCGGCGAAGATTTAATGGGTGAGGTGTGTCCTAATTCGCCTGATATTTGGCAGTTGACAGATTAAAAAAAAGGTTCCAATTTTTGAGGCTTAGTTTGAATAAGTGATTTTTTTTCCAATCACTCATGAATTCTTAACCACAATACTGTAACCCTAACACCATCGGTGTTGCTCGTGAAGGCAAAACAAAGAATTTCCTCTTTTTCACATGTTACCCGAGAGTTTCAATCAGAGCTGACCAGTGATATGTTTTGTGTGTTGAGTTTTGTATTTATTTTATTTCGCAATGCACTAAGGAGTGGCACCCAAATTTCGTTGTATGCTATACAATGACAATAAAGGCGATTCTGATTCTGATTATTTCCGCCAGAAGAAATTCATCTAAATCCAATACATTCCGCCCCTCTAAATTCTTCGATTAGACAACCTAATGCTTCCACGATTCATGGATCTACAAAACAATCATCGGCACCGGAATCAACAGGAGCAACAATCTTTAGTCCTTTCCCATATCATGATACGGCCACCTGGAGTCTTTTCATGTTCTTTGTTTTGTCATGGTGTAGACTCGATTATGATGATGCCAAGTCATACTCACATTGTTTGTTAGAACTGGAACTCATAGCCTGGGGGGTCCGATGTTCGTTTATTAATCTGAGCAGAGCGGCGGGCTTGGTGTGATGGTCTCGAAGGACATGTGGAGATTCGGTGATCCAACTGGCCACAGTAGAAACATGCCCCAGTCTGGGACCGCCATGCTCTATCCTCAGGAAGTAGATGCCCACAATCAAGTTGCCTTTGTTCCTCCCCTGGCTGGGCTGGTTCAGGGGTCGATTGGCATTCCAGATTGGTGGGACTTGAGCTTTCATAGAGGGTTCTCCTTCTGCTGACACTGGGAGTCTTTGGAGTTGCTCGGGTGTGATCTAGCCTACGTTCGCGGCGTCTCTCATTCATGCGATTATCCAGTCGAATGGCTAGTGAAATGAGGTCATCTAAATTAGTAGAGTCATCATGTACTGCCAGTTTGTCCTTCAACTTGGAACTTAATCCGCGGCGAAAAATGCTGCGCAACGCGCAGTCATTAAAGCCACTCTGCGCAGCCAGAATGCGAAATGTGATTGAGTATTCCACCACAGACTGACTACCCTGCACACAATCAAGTAATTGTCTTCCGGCTTCTTTTCCTTTGACCGGATGGTGAAACACACAACGGAATTCAGTTATGAAGTCAGAGAAGGATGACTGGATTTCCGGTCGTGCTTTGCTCACAGCCAAAGCCCAAGAAGCAGCCTTGCCAGTCAAGAGACTCATAATAAAGGCAACCTTGGAACTGTCTTGGGAGTAGGCGGATGGTTGCTGATCGAAAATTAATGAACACTGGTGTACGAACTGACCGCAAAGTCCTGGTTCACCACCATAGCGAGACAGATGGGCTAGATTGGGTTCCTGGGGTATGACCGGGGGTGGGCACACCCCGACGGGGGCAGTACAAGGATCCGAGGGTAATGCCCCTCGGGTACTCATTTGCTCAATCCGGGAACCCATTTCCTCCAACTGGTGGGCCAGCAGGGTGACCGTATCACGGAGTTCCACGAGTGTGGCCTCCTGCTCTCCCATCATTTGTCCTTGGCTGACCAAAGCTTTCATGATTTCGTTCCGGTCTACGGGATCCATGGTCGAATTATACCGTCAGGTTCCGGATCCCACAAATGTAGATTGAGACAAAATAATCTTATTAAAAAAAAAACAAAAAAAAAAACCCACAACGTAATTACAGAAAAACACAAAACCGACAAAGTACAAATTCGATCGCTAGTCAACAAAGCCAGGGGGAAAAAAAACTAACAAAAAGCACTTGCAGAAGAATAGGAAATAACGAAAATAGCTTGTCACCAAAAGACAAGAAAAATTCAATTGCAAAAAATTACATTAAATGAAACAACAAGAACACTACTTACAATGCAAGGGAAAACAAAATGAGATCATCAATCGGGTGTCGAGAAAATAAGCACTTGTTACATAGGCTGCAAACAAGGCGAATAATCCAACAGCAAGTTGTCTGTCTTGCAGTCCTTAAGTAGTCCACTGATGGTAACGCGTGACAGGTGCGGCATTGGGAGGGAACCGCCCACCACTCCCACCGGAAACTGAAACCGAAAACAAACAGGAACATGATAACTGTCAGGTCCTCAAGACAAAAAGCTTTGTTTTTGTTTTTTGAAAACTATGAACTCAAACTATATGGCTGTCTGTCGATTGATACAAGACACTTTTACAGCACGAAAAAAAGATTACAAATGGGTGCTGTGCTAATGTATTTATTTCATGGCTTTTCTCTTTCCTGAATGACAATCGCCTTCCAGTGCCTGTGAGAAGCAAATGTAGGAGACTGTTTATGTTATTCACTTGATTTTCTGTTTTGTTGCATTATTTTTGCTTTCCTGAGTGTCTTTAAAGTAATCGTTAATTCACGTTTTTTCTGAGGCGGTCTTCGAACGCCTCTGGAGTTGAACGGCAGTTGAGAAGGCGCGTAGTACAACATCGACGTGTCTGTATTTGCTTCAGTGTGAAACAAATTAATAAAGTGAATGTTCTGAAAACCACCACGACAGCTCTGTTTACTTCGGAGCTGCAACACAAACAATTGACTTATACTAAATGTTCCCGGGCAATTTTGTTGAAAACGGAAGCATCCTACTAGCATATCAAAATTGGCACCAAACTGCTTCAAACATAGTGAAAATAGAGTCATCGATGTGCATAATTGATTGTGTTACTGCCTATATTTTCCATAAAGGTGTTTCACCGTTGATGTTCTGCTGCTATCTAGTGGCGATTGTTGGCCGGAACAAATTATTGCGTAGAAACTTTCCACGCGACACTAGTTGCCGCGTGCATTCACTGGCGCACACTAAAAGACACGTTTTGTGAGCTTTGTGTAGCCATTTTTGGAAGACGACGAAAGTGCTACAGATTGCATCAACACCCTCAAGGACTGGCACATTTCTATAGAACCACACATTTTCCACATTTATTCTTAATCAAACACCAGTGACCAAGTTGCAGTCAGTCTCCACTAAATGAATTTTCTTCCTGCTTGTAAAATCCATGTGGTTTATATTGAACAAGCTGAGGTCACCACACCTCAAAAAGCTGCACCACGAACAGAGTTGGAAAAGGAAGTGTGAAATTGAGGTTTAACATTTAAAGTTAGTTTATCGATTAAATAAAACAAGTGTAAGTTAGTCTTTTCGTTACCTGTTGATTAAGCCAGTGCATCGATTTAAAGGCTTTACAGAGAGCTGCATTTTATGAGTTGCCATATTTCAATTGACACACTCTCCTGATGTACA